CAGCAGCAGAGGGTGGAAAGGCATCAAAAGACAACCAAAGAAAAGGAGAAAACAAACCGAAACAAAACGAAAATAAAAAATAAAATAAAATAGAATAAAATAAAATAAAGAAAAAATGAAACAAGAGAAATAAAAACTTGCCTCTTGGCCAAAGCCTGAAGATCCCGCAGTGTCTTCTGGACAATTTGCAGCCGCAGCTGCAGCTCCTCTCGGGCCTCTTCGGGGCTGTCTTCATCCTGCTGCTGCTGCTGCTGCTGCAGTTGCTGCTGCTGCAGCTGCTGCTGCTGCAGCTGCTGCTGCAGCAGAGGCGCTAGCGGGGGCTGTATGCGTTCCAGCGACGGAATGGCCCAGGCCGTGGGCCTCTGCTCCCCACAGCAGCAGCACGCCGGCCAAAAGGGCAGCAAACCATAAACCCTTTTTCAGGGTTTAGGGTTTAGGGTTTAGTGGGGTTGTGATCTGAGGAACTAGAGTTTAGGGCCCGCTTTGGCTCCGGGCAGCGCGCGTGCTGACATTTCTAACAAGACGGCCGTAAACAAAGCCAACTCTGAAATTAGGGTTTAGGGTTTAGGCTTTGGAGTCTAGGGTTTAGGGTTTAGTGTGGCAGCGCACCGCCCTTGCATTGGCTTCTCTAAGGATACGCAGAACTCTCTCCTGGGGCTTTTCGCCAGGAAGAGACACAGGAATGCCAGCAGCTAGTTCAATCCCTGCTGCTGCTGCTGCTGCTGCTGCTGCTTCATCTGCTGCTGCTGCGGAGCTTGATGTATCATCTTTCTTCTCCGACTCTTGCTGCTGCTCTTGCTGCTGCTGCTTTTCCTGTTCTCCATGTTGCTGCTCCTGCTGTTGCTGCTGCTGCTCCTGCTGCTGCTGATCCTTTTGCTGCTGCTCCTGCTGCTCCTGCTGCTGCTGCTCTTGCTGCTGCTGCCTGTAGGCTGCAGCCTCCTCAGGGTGCGCCTCCTCGTCCAGCAAAAGAGCCTCTATGAGCTCTGCGACTTCCTGCGAGGCCCAATAAAGCCCAGCAGCGGCAGCAGCAGCAGCAACAGCAGCAACAGCAGCCGCAGCAAAAATAGGCTCCAGATTCACGGTTTAGGGTTTAGGGTTTAGGGTTTGTGAGAGCCCCTCCTGAGGCCGCCCCAGCCTTGAATGAACTGCTCTGGGCCACCAGAACAGACCATTGGAGCACAGCAGCAGCAGCAAAAGGAAATGAAGACAAAAGCAGCAGCGGCAAAAGAAAAAGAAGACAAAATGAGCAGCAACAAAAGAAAAAGGACAAAAAGAGCAGCAGCAAAAGAAAAGCAAAAAGAGTAACAAAAAAAGGGAAAATACACAAAAAGCAGCAGCAAAGAAAAGGCAAAAAGAGCAGCAGCAAAAGAGAAAAGATAAAAAGAGCAGCAGCAAAAGAGAAAAAACAAAAAGAGCAGCAGCAAAGAAAAGGCACAAAGAGCAGCAGCAAGAGAGAAAAATAAAGCAGCCGCAGCACCTGCAGAGTGCAGCCAGAGGCCCGCCGTTCTTCCTGCAGCAGCAAACAGACCACAGCAGCGGCTAGCTGCTAGCTGCCACTAGCTAGCTGTGTCTGCTGCAGCTAGCTGTCTGCTGCAGCTAGCTGTGTCTGCTGCAGCTAGCTGTCTGCTGCAGCTAGCTGTGTCTGCTGCAGCTAGCTGTCACTGCTGCAGCTTGCTGTCACTGCTGCAGCTAGCTCTCTCCGCTGCAGCTAGCTGTGTATGCTGCAGCTAGCTCTCTGTAGTTCAGCTAGCTAGCTGGCCTGGCTAGCTGCGGCTAGCCCAGCTAGCTTGGCTAGCTGGGCAGCAGCCAGCTGCCAGCTTGGCTAGTTGCTTCTGCCCTGGCTGTCCAGCTTGTTTACCTGCGTCTAGCTTGGCTGGCTGGGCTATGTTGGCTAGCTGCGTGTAGTTTGGCTAGCTGCTGCAGCCTAGCTAGCTAGCTTCGCTGGCTGGTGTAACTTGGCTGGCTAGTTGGTGAAGCTTGGAAAGCTAGCTTGGCTAGTTGGTGTAGCTTGGCTAGCCAGCTTGGCTAGCTAGCTTGGCTAGCTAGCTTGGCTAGCTGGTGCAGCTTGGCTAGCCAGCCTCGCTAGCTAGCCGGCTAGCTAGCGAGGCTGGCTAGCTAGCTGGTGCAGCTTAGCTAGCTATGTTGGCCAGGCGGGTTGGCTAACTAGCTACCTTGGCTAGCCGGCCTGGCCAGCCATCTTGGCAAGCTAGCTAGACTAGCCATCTTGGATAGCTAGCTAGCTTGGCTAGCTAGCTTGGCTAGCTAGCTAGCTTGGCTAGGTAGCTGGCTGGGCTAGCTAGCTAGCTTGGCTAGCTAGATAGCTTGTGTAGCTAGCCTGGCTAGCTAGCTTGGCTAGCTAGCTAGGTTGGCTAGCTAGCTAGCTTGGCTAGCTAGCTAGGTTGGCTAGCCAGCTAGCCAAGCTAGCTAGCTAGCTTGGCTAGCTGCAGCTTACGATGGGCCTGCCCTTGCCGCTACGGACAAAGTTGCCGCAGACTTTGTTTTTGGGGTCAAAGCCGAGCTGCAGAAAACAAAACAAAATAAAAATAAATAAATAAATAAATAAAAATATATAAATAAATAAATAAAATAATGAATAAATAAATAAATAAATACGATAATAGAATAAATGAATTAATAAAGGAATTTAAAAAGGAAGAGGAGATAAAGAGTGAGGGCTAGGAGAATGAAATGAGGAGCGGAGCGGCGAGCCAGCTAAACCCTAAGACCTGAACCCTAAACCCTAAACCCTAAACCCTAAATTATCAAGAAGAAGAAGAAGCACATGCAGCATGGAGAGACGCTGAATAGAGGCAAGGCCACAATAAACCCTAAACCCTAAAACCTAAACCCCATACCCTAAACCCAAACCCCTAACCAGAAACTATAAACCCTAAACCCTAAACCCTAAACCCTAGAAAAACAAGTAGAAGCAGCATGGCCCTCACTGAGGCTACGAGAGCCAGCGCGTCACTACGGCGAACTCCGTTAGCTGCACGCATAGAGCCGCAGGACGCCCTAAACCCTAAACCCTAAACCCTAAACCCTGCGCTTAGGGCCAAAACCCTAAACCTTAACCCCAAAACCCTAAACTCTGTAGCCAAAACCCTAAACCCTTGAGGACAAAAATAAAATAAAGAAGCAAAAAAGAAAAGAAAAAAACTCTTACGCTTGTCGATGTCCAGCTGAATGAAATAAAGAGCCAATTCATCAGCAGCTTCTTGAGACAGTGCCGTCTGCAGCAGCAGCAGCAGCAACAGCAGCAGCAGCAGCAGTGAGACCCAGCAAAGAGCCAGCACTGTAACGGGGCAGCGAAAGGAACAGCAGCAGCTACAGCTGCACCGACAGCAACAGCAGCAACAGATGGTATGAACAGCAGCAAATCTGTGGCGCAGGCACAGCAGCAGCAGCAGCGGCAGCAGCAGCAGCAGCAACGCGCAGCAGCAAACGACAGATCCCGCAGCAAGAAAATAACAAGCAGCTGCAGCTCAACTTGGCGCTGGATGGAGGCACTGAGGAGAAGCCCTGAGCCCAAACCCTAAACCCTAAACCCTAAACCCTAAACCCTAAACCCTAAACCCTAAACCCTCGCACCTTGTACTTGCTTGCCACTGCAGCGCGAGGCAAAGGGTCTTCGCCAACAAACAGCTTCCGCACTTTGCGGCTCATACGCCACTCAGCCTTGGCCACGTTAAAGTCTGCAGCAGCAGCAGCAGCAGCAGCAGCTGTGGTGATGCAGCAGCACTAAATCGCGCAGCAGCAGCAGCAGTGAAGCAGCAGCAGCAGCGTGAACTGCTACAGAAGCAGCAGGAGCAGCCGCTGCACCCGCAGAGACAGCAGCAGAATCGAGGGAGATCGAGCAGCAACACTGCTGCTGATGCTGCTGCTGGAGCCGTTGCTGTTGCTGCTGCAGCCACCGTTGTTGTTGCTGCTGCTGCTGCTTCTGCTGCTGCTCCTTGCAGGCCCCGACGCAGCACGAACTGCTTTTTATGCATATCAAAGAGGGCACAAGTCAGCAGCAATCAGCAGCAGAGCTGCAGCAGCAGCCAACAGATCACCAGCAGCAGCAGCAGCAGCAGCAGCACATACCACTTTCGACGACTTCATACAAAAACCAGGCGCTGAAGGAGGCCCCACAAACAGCAGCAAGACCACTGGTCCACGTCCACCGCACAGGCCACCACGAGCTGCTGCTGCTGCTGCTGCTGCTGTTGCCGCCGCTGCTGCTGCTGCTGCTGCCGTCGCTTACGCTGCTGCTGCCATCTTCTAT